TCCGCCACTCGACTTCCCGTGTCTAGGCTTGGGCAACCTGGCAGTATCCCAGCCCTCGTGCTTCCTTTGGGTGGCATGGCAGCTAGGCACCGGAAGGGTGCTACATCTGAACGCTTTACTGGGACTTAATTTTAGTATTCCGTAGTAAAAATAAAACTAAACTGTTATATCTGTGGATTCGCCAATCTGTGGTATCTACTGTTGACCCGCTCCAGTGCCTAGTTGCCGAAAAAAGGAGTCGCAGAAGGGAACACAAGAGCTATATTCCGAACAAGCGAGTGCGAGAATCCAACGGTCTCAAGCCATTTATTGGAGGGACACTGTCTGAACTTGATCCAATGCTGACGCACGTGGTCTGGCCTTGGTACGAGGCTGTGACGTGCTGCATATTGCGGGGGCGTTGTCTGACCTTGATTAACTCTGACTCGCGCTGTATGGGTTTGATACACGGCTGTGACGTGCTGCATATTGAGGGGGCGTTGTCTGTCTGGTCAACATCTAGCGGAGCTGAGAGCCTCGGTAGATTTCGGGCATTCAGTGGTTGCTTTCAGGAAGCTGACCTGATATAAACCACTCAGTTGTAACACCTTTTTGGTGCCCAGCCGCCATGCTACCTGAAAAGCTAGAGAGCTGAGGTCGGTCAAGCCTAGACAAGAGCAGTCGAGATACACTGAGGTTCGAAACACGGACTTGTCAAGTAAATTCGTGCTCTAACCACTGATCTATCTCAAGCTCAAAGTAGCATTTACAAGTTACGGGACAATACCACGTACTGGCACAGTCCTACGTTTCCAGAATTGTTCACCGCATGTATGCATAAAGCTCCTTTTGTCTTGGACTGAACAGTTTGCCTTGTCCTTCGCGCAATACCAAAATTCCTTCTACCTGATCGATAACGGGTGATTTATTTGTCACAGTTGTTTGGGTGTTCGGCACAAGAATGTTGCCTACAACATTTAGTTTAGTTTGGGGCCAGAACAGAGTGGAGAGTGAGACAACGGGGAATGGAACAGATATATTGTCCTGAGAATAGATAAGAAGGTCCGTAGGATTAAAAAGAAGGCCGTATCAGTTCAACTGATCAACACACCTGACCGGAAGTATCTGATGATCCGGAATGTCTGTGTCAGTTGCGCAATAATACGAGTAGAATCTCCTCCACATTTAAGATACGAAGATGTTATTCGACCTGAGACACCACCAATAATGAGAGAGGGAACGGGCTTCAATTGACTCATGAGTAAGTATGTTTTTCATAAAGGCTCCAGGTAACCTCTTCTTGATGATTTCAGGGGAAGACAGTTCATCATCAGCGTGGACGGTAGTACACCAGCGTTGGAAACCGACAATCATGGAGGAAGAAAGCCCCACGAAATGGTTGGGCAAATGAGGGAGTGGGAATTCACTGTAAAAAAAAACCAAGAACAAGATCCTCAATCAAGATTTCATCCTATAAGTGAAGACAGTCTAAGCCGAGAAGCCAAAAAGCACTGTACGGCTTTTTCATCCGTCCTGAGAATAATCAGCTGTTCACATTTCAGGAAACTCCAGGAGGTTTCGAACTCCTGTTTGGCTACGAGCATCTTTTCAGCAGTGTGATTAGCTTGCATTTATACGGGATGTAGCCCCACCCGTCTTTCACTCACGGAATTCACATCACGCAGTCACACGTTGACTGCGTTCTCGAGTGACAAATTCTCAGTTGCTGTCCCCCTGTGAAATTTTTCTCCCTTTGAGTTCCTTGTGGATTGTCGGTAGGGTAAAGAGCCTTGAGAATTTTTTTTATTTGGGATTCCGTCTTGGTAACTACACAGCTTGTGATTGCACCACGACAGATGAAGCCTGTCACCAAAGTACGAGTAATATTTGCAAAATGAGTCATGTTTGGGTTTACAAAACGATGGGACGGTTTGCTCAACCGCTGTGCTTGCATGTTGGATTCCTATTTCTGGTACACACCACACATCAATCTCAAGCGAGTGCAATGTGAGAGCAGGAGCAGCTTGTTGTCCTGCTTGCTTCGGGGCGAGATGATCCAAGTGGTTAGAGCGCGAATTTACTGACCGGAAGGCCCGTGGTTCAGACCCGACCTCTGCGCCTTGACTTCTCCTGTCTAAGCTTGGGCAACCTGGCAGTATCCCAGCCCTCGTGCAACCTTCGGGTGGCATGGCAGCTAAGCACCGAAAGGCTGCTACAGCTGAACGATTTTTTGCTTCAGACTGCGAGAATTAAAAGCAACCAGACGGATTCGGTGTTGGGTCTTGAAGGTTGATTTCTAGTTGCTTGAGGTCCTGGATAATGCGCAGTTATTGCGGCCAAGACACATGCAAGTCGAACAGGATGGCTGTACAACGTGTGGGATACGCGAGAGGGACGTCGGCATTAGCCTATTTTCACTTACCCAGTCGGCTGTATGCAGTTTTTTCAATTGGGAATCATGGCTGTACATGGGCTGGGATACTAGCAGGATACCCAAAGCTAAACATAAGAATAACCTCGACCAAAGCATTTGGATCAAAAGCCGGACCACCAGTTAGCGCTCAGCGCATCCTTTTTTTGAAGAACAATTCACCAGATGCTCTGACCCCCACCTTGGTTGACCAGGAGAAAATGTTGTTCAAACCTCCAATGTGGCATGAAGGACGCTGAGCGTGCGTCACGGAAGTAGACAGCTGTGGCACCACATTAAGGTCTGGTCTTTTCGTGACGGTTGTGGTGCCAGGTTCGTATGAGGTGGGAAGTAAGGAGGAGTTCCGTTTTGTGTGGCTATGGAACTCTGTCCAAATGTACCATTCGGTCACAAAATGACCTATGAGCAGTGTACCTAACTTCCATTGATTCCCATAACTGACGGTGCCACCATCCTTCAGTCACTTGATTAGTGTCGCGCATCCGGTGTTGATTGGTTCTTCGATCGGTATCTCGTCAGGTAGGCGGTCCACGTGACTTATGGGAGGAGTTTCGGTGTATTCTAACTGAAGTTTAGTCACTGCTGTTCAGCTGCTTGGGACTGATGTTATTGTGTTCAATCAGCCCGAGATAGCTTACGTGTGGTTCGAACCCAACCCCCGTCATCTCGACTGCTAGTCTAGGTCTGAGAGATCTGGCAGTATCTCTACCCTCGTGGCTTCTTTGGATGACAAGGCAAGTAGGCACCAAAAAGATGTTACCTCTGAATGAACCTTATCATTTATTTCTGCGTCCATCCAATAACCGGGAGATGGCAGTTCCGAACCGTTGACGATTCCGTACAAGAATCAAATAGGTCCTGGACCTTTAGGCACAGAGGCTTACTGCACTTTCTTGATAAACTAAACGCGAGAATTTCCCTACTGTACGGGGATGGGTATACTGGTTTTAGAACCCATTTTCTCAGTGCTTGGCCTCCAACCCTTTCCTCCATAGTTTTTATTCAATTCGTACACAATCTTTCATCAATTGGTCGTTGGAGTGAATTCACTAATCTTTGGAAAGAAACGGTGTTGGTTTTTGTTATTTTCATCATTAATATTTTGCTACTATTATTAATGATAATGTCTTTGTGCTTACTGTTTTCAGAATCAGTCGATTTTCGATGTGGCGGATAAACAAATAACCATTCTTCTCCGACAGCTTCGCGAACGTCAACGTGGGGTAAGTTCGGATAAAACAAGCTTTGTTTTTGTTACGGAGTTTGATTTTGTTTGTAAATGTCACAAGGTACTTTGTAGCGATTCATTGAGTTGATGAACAGCGAGCTGCTGACTACTTAAAAACGGTGCTATTTCATGTAAGTAGGTTGCGTCCGGTGACAGTTGGTCTCTATCTCTTCGCTCCTCTTAAGCAATCCGTGCGTGCGCCAACTGTCAACTGGTCGGCCATCTAAGACTGCCAGATTATACCACTGGTTTATGCTATGTCCTAGCACCTCGTGATGGTAGATGTTCTCCTTTACTGAACTAACAACCTGAGCTATTTGCCATTAGAGTTCCCGGGGCATTTCATTCTTGAGGATGGGATGTTTCCACGTGTGTTTTGGGGACCTTCTCGTCGTTATATTGGAAGCTTTCCAGTGTCTGGTAGTTTCTGTACCTCTGAAGCGCTAACTGGATCTTGTGCAAACATGTGATTAGCAGTGCCAAGGCATTCCGATGAGGCGACTTGTGTACGATAGCTTAGCTAGTTCCACTCTCTTGGTAACGTTGGTTGGGTTGCGCACTCGCTGTACCCCGCAGCTGTCTTTCCCCAGCCATATATGGACCAAATGCTACCGCAAGCCGATCATTGAAATGTGAAACCATTGACCAGTAGAGTCAGTCACGTCTCGATGACCGCCTCTGTTAGGCGGAATTCCGCGCCGCTGTCCCTGCCCCTCGCACTTAGGCGCTGCTACGTTCAGCAAACCTGTCCCGCACGCAACTGGCCAAGAGACGGGGCCCCTTGCCGAGTTCTGATTGGCCGAAAGTCTGGATACAACAACCAACCGTGATCCA